TGATTTTTTTGGTCACAAGGAAGGTTGTTTATATAAATTGCCTGATTTGCATTTCAAAATATTTGCTTACTACTGATGTATTTCTGGGCCCATAGATAGATTAGTTTAGGAGTTTCATATCAGAGGCCCAAAAAAGGCATTGAGCTATATTCATTATGAAATAACCTGCAAGCACACCCAGTTCAACATCTAGCTGATCTTTAGTCGATTTGACATCTGGCACAATGTCAAATTGCATGGATAAGTAACACATTGTTCCTGCTGTCAATGTGATTTCATAGTGTTCATTGGCCTTTACTCACCTACCAGTCTGAAGTCAATGGAACACAGTAGCAATAATCCGCTGTGGCTTCAAATATTTGTCAGTGTGGGGTACTGTTGAAAGGTAAAATAAAATGTTGGCTTAAAGAGACAGTGAGTAAATTAGGTAGATTTGCTTATTTCAGCAGTAAGCAAATTGCTTTTCTTGTTGAAAATAATGGGAAACACTTGATAATTCTAAACTTCTCCCTCAAGACACGCCAAGATAAGTAAGAGTTGAGCTGCTTCTAGCAGAACATGGCTTAAAAAGTCACAATACCATCTAGAAAAATTAATTGGCAGCTGGCATCGCAACAATAAGCAAATTTAAATGAAAAGGGATCATTGCTAATATGGTTGGTACCAGCTTCTAAGGGATTCAGGCATGCTTTTTCAAAAGGTGAATCATGGAGGACAGGGAAAAAAATAGAAAATTTGCATGTTGCTCCCAATTCTTTCTAGGATCTGGGAGATAGATCCTCCAGAGATTTTTCTGTAAAAAGGATGACAATGACAAATGTTAATATTCTTTCAAAGGGTAACTTTTCACAAAAAAATTATGTTGTTTTCCACAGGTCAAAATGGCTATACAACTCCTAAGAAAATGAAGAATCAGGCCCTCTACCTACTTTGATAGGCTGAAGTGTTTAGCTTCTTAATATGGTTAAAGCAATAGAAGAATTAAGACTGATATGCAGTCTGCTGAAGGCATTGGTAATGAGATGGCTCTAAGTGATGTTTTTGTGTATTTCAGCCCCATTGCTAGCTAAAAAGTGCATAAGGAAACATCCATTGTTGTATTCAGTGTTACTGTAGCCATGTCAGTCCCAGGATAGGAGAGAGAAGGCGGATGAGGTAATATTTTATTGGACCAACTTCTGTTGGTGAGAGAAAGGCGCTTCCAAGCTTACACAGCTTCTTCAGCTCTGGGAAGGGTACTGAGAGTGTCAGCTAAGTGCAAGAGCAAACAAATAGCTAGCACACTCACCTTAAAATACGTGCTTGTATTTAGCTGACACTCAATACCTTTCAGAGACCTGAAAAGAGCTCACTGTAGCTCCAAAAGTTTGCTTCTTACCATGAAAAGTTGGTCCATTAAAAGATATTACCTCACTCATCTTGTCTCTTGTATGGAGAGACAGCAGTTTAACACAGAACAGACTTAGATGAAAACCTGCGAGTGAACAGCCTGCTGGAGGGTCAGACCGTTATTCTAAAAATGGATCCCTCTAGCCCTAAGAGCACAGCTGTCTACAAGTGGATAAAGCTGGATCATGCTCACAGAATGGTAGCACCACCACCACATAAGCAGGGAAAGGCAGGGGATGGTGGTTCTCAGAGAGCAAAGTTTCAGCAACAAGGTTGCAGGAAACTACAAGAACGAATGAACCTGTGACCAGGAGGGAAATGGTTTCTACTCCCTCTTCCCCCTACCCCCCACAACTTCTTGTATGAGGTGCACACAAGCAGCTGGGAACTGGTGTCAGGCATCTCATATAGAAAGTCTACATGCTAGAATCACTATGTACACAAAAGCCATCGGGCTGTAGCCTCTCTTGCCAGCCAAGGAGCATGGGTTGATGATGGGACTACGAACATTTTCGAAGTTGATCCAATTCTGCTCCCACCTGGTCCAGATTACTGATCAAACCCTCCTTAGGGAGTACTTGGCTGTTTGGGGGCATTTATATCCCTGGCATTTGCAATATTATAATGCTCTAGTTCTTAGAAGACAAATCTTGAAAGCTTTGCACTTTGAAAAGCTACTGTGCAGACCTATAATTTCTTCTGCATTTTATGCATGCAGGAGCTATTGTAGGGCCATTATTTTGTATATATTATTGCTGTTAAATGCAAGAGTGCTTTATGATTTTCCAAAACGTATCCAGGTGTGACACCTACGGTGCAGTTTGCAACCTGAACTAGAAAGGACCAAAACTGTGCAATTGCAATCTTATTTGCCTAATGCACAAGGGAAGTCCATATGGAAAAGAATGCATATTCAAGCCTTTGGATGCTGTAATTTAAGTTAGAGGATCAAGGGGTGGAAGAAGACTTCTAGCATCTCCATGTGATACTCCAGAACAGCAGCACTGCAGGGAGTTCCAAGGAGCTATTAGCATAAATTATAGGCCACCAAACTGAAAGCAGAGTGGTAGTCTAGTGGAGCTCATATTCTTTCCAATTACAACTAAACCATCTCCACCAGAAACAACTTACCGCCAGGGAGCATAAAACTGTCCAAAGAGAGAAACATTGCCTATCTTGGAATACACGAGGTTGTGCCCAGCAAAGATATATTTCCAAGTAGGAGAATGCTTGGCCTATATTTCTTCATCCTCCCTTGGAATACAAAAGCTGAATGCCCTCCTGCAGTCTAAATTTTTATCAGGAACAAGACATAAGTATTTCTGAACAAGTATTCCTTGTACAAGTCTGTTTGCCTAGTATCTCCTTCTTGGCATGGGAAATCATTTTTGCTCAAGTGAGAAAACAAACATTTCCCAGTCCCTGTCTTTCTTCTTCCCAAGAACATTCACTCTGGGAATTTATCACAATTGGGGAGGATCGTCTGGAGAAGATATTTGCAGCACACCAGTGCTTTCTGCAGTGCCAGGCTGCATTTTAGGCCTGGTGTCAAAGAATTATGGCCACTTATTTATCACTCCCAGAGAATAAGCAGACATCAGAATAAGGGGATCTTCTCCTAACAAAGGCCCAGCTCCTGCAAAAAAGAACTGGGCAAGCAGACCCCATAGTGCCCATATGAAACTAAGTGAAGTCGGGTGTGAAGTTCTGCTTGCCTGGTTCCTTTTGCAGCTTTGGGGACAAAGAAAATGCTAAAATGCAGCCAAGATTATGCTAGAAAATAGCTCATCTATATTCTTCCATTAATCAGTGACAAATCTTAAAGGGGTAGGAGAAATGCAAACTGTTCACTTACCTTTTCCAAGTAGCTTTACTATTTAAAGGGTCCAGTTCTTCCCTGTTCCATGTACATTCAAATTTAGATGTTAAATCACCCCTGAAATTATGGAAATTGGCACGGCTTTTCAGATATGGGGGCAAATTCTGCTCTAAGTTAAGGCTTTGTGCACACATCATTCCAAATCCCCAAAGGTGAGTTGGCTTTATTTTAGCAATCAAAATTAAAGGTCCAATTGAAGACAAAACAGCAGAGTTCTGAAAGACACTAAAGAAACAAAGGAGCTCCTGCCTTCCTCAATGAGAGGCTGCCTTTTCTGCAACCGCAGAGCCGGGAGCTAGGAGATCCAAAAAGAAAAGGAGTTTATTTTAGCAATACAAACTAACAGGGCTGCTACTCTGAAACCTGCTATTTGTAGTGAGTCATGGAGTCACTTGTTTATTTAATAGGTGCAATGCAATTGGCACCCTGCGAGCCAAATCTTGGTCCCATTAAAGTCAGTGGGAGCTCTGGTCATTGGCTTCAGTGGGACCAGGATCTGGCTCACAGGGTGCAAATATTTGTGAGGGCAACTTGGCAGTCACACATGGTCTCATCACTCAAACCAAGCCAGGAGGGGGGGACATGGGAAGAGAAGACGCCCGGGAAGTGGAGCACGCCCCCCACCCTTTGCTCCGGTTTTAAGAGTCAGGGGTCATACTGAAGGTAGCAGCGAGAGGGGAAAAGTGAGGTAGGGAGGGAGCGGGAGGTAGGGAGACAGTGGGAGAAGCAAGAAGGGAATCTATTTGCTGCCTCGCTCTTGATCCAGATATAGGTGAGCCCAGGAGAGCGAAGTTAGGAAAGCCACATTCATGCTTCGCCATGTTGGAAGGGTACCAAGATTTTCGTCTGAAGTAGTGCGCATGCCGATCAACGGGTCTTAAAATCAACCTCACTTCGCTGCTATTGTGAGCTCCACAGGGCAGAGTTACTTTTCGAGGGGCTATTTCTTGCATTATTTTAACGAAGCCAATATCTTAGATCGCCATAAAATTACCTAGAAACGAATGAGTGGAGGATACCCTTGTCTGTGGATTGATTTCCCTGTCTAGAAAGGCAAGCAGAGACGGTTGACGGACCAGAGCTCAAAGGCGTCTTCTTGCCAATGCAGAATTGTTCTTTACTGTGTATTTGCAACGCTTCCTATAGCCCAGGGGTTTCTGGGCTGTATTACTTTGAACTGTGTAGGAAGTGGGCATCTTGTGGCTCATGGGGGTGCTGGTCACTCCTCCGCAGGGAGCCAACGATGAAAAGTAAAGGTTGTGTATTCCTCAGATTTTTGCCGCAGGAGACAACGCAACCAGTCCAACTACCGGATGTACCAGAAATTCCAGTACCTATTTAAGATAGAGCCACGTAAGGGGAAGTGGGAGGGGAGACACTTCCGATTTTTAGGTCACCTATTGTACTTTGACTTCAGTGCTAAGTATTTCCACACCTCAGGATGTGGGGGGAGAAACCAAGCTGGTGACTAAGCCTCTGCCCCTCCCTGGCTGAGCAGAGCTCAGGTGACAGTACACGAAGGGAAGAGCAGGGTGTGGAATCGCTGCTCTTTATGCGCCTGCTACCCAGGATACATTCACTCACGGAGATCGAATTGTCCGATCATCAACCGGGAAGCAGATTTTGTATCCCTAAATCCTGCTGATTAAGAGGGACTTTATTTAGGAAGTGGATTTATCACTGGAAAGAAACTTTTCGAGTCAGTTGCGAAGATTCCCCCCCCCCCCCCAAGATGTTTCGGGAAATAAAGTATCGGTGTCAGATTCAGCGCCTGTTGTTCATGGGATTTCTGATGCTGTTTGCCACGGTGGTGCTGAAATACTCCTCCTGGGAATGCAACTTCAGTGATCTCGGGAAAGAGACAGTGCATATGAAGAGCGAGAGTTGCAAGGATCATCTCTACCAGTCTCTAAAGTTGTCTCCCAGGGGCCAGATCAACTGCTCTCGGATCGTCAGAGGGGATGTGAAAGCCGTAGAGGAGGCTCTTTTGAGCAGGCTACAGAAGAAAACTAAATCTGAGCCTTTAACCCCGAAAGATTACGTGAATTTGACGAAGGACTGCGCTCACTTTAAACAGCGCAGGAGGTTTGTCGAGTTCCCACTGAGCAAAGAGGAGGAGGAATTTCCTATTGCATATTCCATGGTAGTGCATGAGAAGACTGAGATGTTCGAAAGATTGTTAAGGTCCATCTACACGCCCCAGAATATATACTGTGTCCACGTAGATCTAAAATCCCTGGACGAATTCAGGGAGGCAGTCCGAGGGATCGCCTCGTGCTTCGAAAATGTCTTTGTGGCCACTAAACTGGAGAGAGTAGTGTACGCGTCCTGGTCCCGGGTCCAAGCGGACCTGAACTGCATGGAGGACCTACTCAAGAGCAACGTGCCTTGGAGGTATCTCTTAAACACTTGCGGCACCGATTTCCCCATCAAGACCAACGCCGAGATTGTCCGAACCCTGAAGTTTCTAAACGGGAGAAACAATATGGAATCCGAGAAACCCTCTTCGATCAAGGAGGCTCGCTGGAAGTACCACCACCACGTGGAGAACTCGGTGATCCGAACCACCAAGGAGAAGAGCCCCCCGCCCCAGGCCTCACCCATGTTCACGGGCAATGCCTATGTTGTGATCACAAGGGACTTTGTTCAAGCCCTCTTTGAAAACCCGACGGCGCAGCAGCTGCTGGAGTGGTCAAAAGATACTTACAGCCCAGATGAACATATCTGGGCCACCCTCCACCGGATGCCAAGCATGCCAGGATCGGTGCCTTATAACAATAAGTATGAGGTCTCCGATCTCAATGCTGTTGCTAGATTGGTGAAGTGGTCCTACCTGGAGGGCGATGTCAGCAAAGGGGCACCCTACCCGCCGTGTACGGGTATCCACCAACGGGAGGTCTGTGTGTATGGGGTAGGTGATCTTCACTGGATGCTCCAAAACCACCATCTGCTAGCCAACAAGTTTGACCCAAAGGTAGATGAAAACGCAATCCAGTGTCTGGAGGAATATCTACGTTACAAGTCGGTGTATGGGAAAAATCTCTGAGAGCCTGTCAGGCCTGGCAAGGTGAAAACACAAATCTTGAGAGCGACCTGTAAAGAACTTCACCAAAAATGCGATGTAAAATTTACAGAGCACTTGGTTTTAGCTCGCACTCTCAGCAAGTGGGGGATTTTGCTCTGCATACAGTACTGGTCACTGAATTCACAGACTTGAGACGATCGACCGTATTTTTCCTATAGTAAAAACCTTAATATATGCTGTCCGAATTACAGTGAAACCTCTCCAGGAGATTCTAGACAGCCTCATGTTGTCAGTACTGAGTCAGATTCTGCTCCACCTTGAACAAAAAACCTCCAGTAAGCGATTGCCCTGTCCTTGGGCGTGGTTGCTCAAGACGGATTTCACTGTATTTCAGTTGGAATAAAAGCTTTTTCATATGAAGGAAACAAAAAGGAATTTGCTAATCACTTGGAACGTCTGTTTAATTTGCTTCCTCCATTCCACCGTTGAGGTTGCATTCTAAAGTAATTGTCCTTTTGTAGTTTATGCTATAAAATAAGGAGACTCCTACTGTAGAGGGGGAAATAAGATTTAACCTGGTTATCAGCCGCAGTCATTTTCCTATTTAAGTGTCTCTTCTTATTCTCAGGATGTGGCTTGAGAGGGTAATATTCAGGACCTGTTTATTCTCAAATCCAGTCTGCATGGCATTAGCAGTCAGTACCAGGACATGCTATCTAGAGTAAACATTTTCTGTGGAAAATCCTAACTGTAGAAATCGATGGATTTAAATTATGCTTTAAGTGTATATAATGTGAACTGCAATTCAAGAGTATTCAGATGTGGAGTGCTGGTACAGTCCTCTGTTTCTGTGATAAAGTGATTGATCTAGAAGTTGTACATAAGCAGCACATTTCATCCCCACTGATCTTGGGGAAAGAGCCCCCACTTTCTTTGGGGGGGAGGGGGAGAGAGTCACAAAAATAAAAAAATTGCACCATAACTTTTTTCTGCTTTGTGGTGAAAGTTTGGAAGAACTACTTTATCTGTAGACATGATTTCCTGGTACATTAGCACACAATAACAATCTTAAAGATAAAAATATTTTAAGGAATATTATAAACCTTAACATTGTTTGAACATAGCATGTGTGTTTGGTTAAAAAGCAGGCAGTAGATTTACTATGAATCAACATTTCTTTTATTCCTGCTTCCCTTTTCTTTCTGCTTTGTTTCCTTCTATGTTTTACTAATCTTTCACGTACACACTCCAAAGACAGAGATTGTTTGGTTTCCTTGCATTTCCTTTTGTATGGTTAACCACAAATGTCCACCTTATGAGATTGTGTAAATTAGTTTTCTAGTCTCTTTTCCTGGTTCTGCCTGGTCAGTTGCTTATATTTAAAAATAAGGGTGGGCAAATGACTCTTGAAAACATTGAGAAAGTTTTTTCCTTTGTAGAGTAGAAAGAAACCCAGAGTGGAATGCAGGATTAAAGGTTCAGATCAGTTCATACAAGAGCACAAACAACTTTACATAGTTTACTTTCTTTGCCCAATGCTGTGCCTACATGCCAGAGGTGGCTTTCCAGACACCATCCTTTCTACTACCTAACTTGGATTGACACGACTGTGTCTTTTACTATCTCAACCAGTTTGGCTTGGTTTGTTTTAAACATGCCACTAATAAAAAGCTAATCAGAAGCTATGTTTTGTATATTTAATTTTGTCCCTTAGAGTTAAAAAAAATAATGAAAATATAAAACCCCAGCTCCTTGGGTTATTTTGTAGCCTTTATGTCTTAACTGTTGAGACTATAATAGGACTGGGAGACCAGAGATCCAGGTTTTACTGACCTGGCGCATGACCAAAGCCATTTAACTTCTGTGCCTCAGTTTTTTCATCTGAGGAAACTGGGACAATAACCCTTAACTCTAGTGGTATTGTGAGGCTAAATTTGGTGAGATTCTTCGATAAAAGGTGCCATAAGTTATAGTTACAAAGAGAACCCTGAGACCCAGTCAGAATTAAGACCGCCAAGATTTCCATGGAAAGCAGGGACTTTGCCCCCAAATCTTAGTCAAATCAAACATTACTCAACTCATCCCTTCCCTCTCTACAACTTCTCTTGTAATGGATGGGGGCTGGAGGGGAAACACTCATGAGTGTTTATACTGAACACACCCCAAGAGCTTTGCCAGTTAATCCAGCTGGCTTCCATGGGCCCCATCTGCTTTTCCTTGTGTGTCACCTTGACCCTTAGCTCATTCCTCTCTGTGCTATTACCCTATCTGTATACATTTCACTAGTGCAGCACTATAATACTGTGGCTGCTGGCAGACGGCCACTATTACCCTACTGATGTCTGAGGCAACTCCATGGCAGCTGGCTGGAGGGATGAAAATGAGGGTGACTGAAATCATGATTTCAACCATTTGATTTTTTTTTAAATAATTGTTTTAAATCAGGTTGCAATTACATAAAACTAAATTGAAAAATGTATGCAACTGCAACTTCAGATTAAACCGTATCATGAACGCCGTTATAAATGCTGTTTTTTAAAATGCCACAACTGGTAGGGAATCTGAATGTTACAAAACTGCTATAAGCAATAGCAAATATTAACAATTAGGGCCCTGATCCCACAAACACCTAATCAAGTAGGTGACTTTACTCACACAACTAAACCCATTCACTTTAATGAGACTACTCATGTGCTTCAAGTTAGGCATGGGCATAAATGTTTGCTGCATCAGTGGCTAAAACTATTTCTATTAAAAACTTTAGTGGCATAAAACTGGTCACTTGCATACAAAAAGTTATGGATATTTTCAGTGGGTTAGAAAATGTATTGTGAATTTTTCATATTCACAGGGCAACTTTTCAAAATAAGAAACTTAAAGTTAAGTGCCTAAATCTGAATTAAAAGCCTCAGATCAAGATTTTTAAAAAGCATCTAGAATGACTATGGTGCACATGCCCATTGACGTCAGAGTGCAAACTTTGCCAGACATGCATAGCCTGGTCAAAGCATTTCAGGTTTCTTAATTTGTGCAGGTTCACTGTATCGGAGGGTGTTAATGGTTGCAAATATAGCAGGGACTATTTCCTTACCAATTTTGTATGAGAGCTGGTGGTGTTCTCACCGAAGGAAGTTAATGAGACCCTGGATTCTTTTTTCAGGACATATGACCATTTTAAATCCAATTTATTTATTTTGGAGAAAACCATCTCTACATAAAATAGACTACCAATTAGGAAGCTAGCACTCAACACAAGACAAATAGCTGAACTGGATGAGACTGGAAAATAAGTAAAAAGCTAGACACACATTATAAAAATGTGAATTTAAATTTTAAAAAGTCAATCTAAATAAAATTTTTAAAAAATAATTTTATCCACTTTATATGCCAGTTATGTCCTTTCAAATGGGGACTATTTAGCTCCTCCCCCACTCCTCAACTGTTTTTGCTGCCAAATTAACATTTATTTGTTGGACACCTCCCTCTGCTTTCCTGCAGATAGTTTTGGAGGAGTCAGGCTGACCACTAGTACGTCACTGATCAATCCGCGGTAGAAACTGATTATTCAGTTGCCAGGATATTTGCTAATTAAATTGTCACCTCAACCCTATCCAAAGGATATGCTGGAAATGAGCATCTGTCCTTCCGGCTTTGGGAAGAGTGGAAATTTAGGGTTCATCTACTCTACAATCTGGAGCCACAAGCGAGCCATGTGTGTTCTCTGACAGTTATGCAGGCCGGCCTAGAATAACTTTATGCAGACTCAGGTCCTTTGATCCAGGTTAGACCAGTCTGTACTCTGATTCCTGAGGGTGAAGCTTCAAGAGACTTGTTACCTGCATCATTTCAGTATTGTGCCTTATCCACAGGAAGCATTCCTTACTTTACCCCTTTAGCCAGGAATACAACAACTAGCAAGCCCATAAAGATACATATATTAACACAATAGTCTGAATATTCCCTAGTGTCTGTCACATCTCAATACAATAGGCTTTGAGTATTCCATGATTCTATAGCATTCAAGTGTCCCATACACTTCCAGATCTGTTAGAGTAATTTATAATCCCTTTGTAATCATTCTGTATACATTTTGCCATTGTCAGTTTTGCCTCCCCCCTTAAGCGTTATATATATTGTCCCCAGAGAACATTAATTTTTATTGTTTAAGACACTTGGAAAGGCATATGTTAGACTTGTTCCAGACCAGAATTTTATGGAGTAGTTAGCAGAAATAAGCATGCTGGTTTGGGGAAACTAAGAATTAACACAAGCTTTTGTCCCAGATTCAAAGTTTGGGAAAGATTGAATTTGCTTTTTCTATTGTCCATTGCCACTCCCCACCAAAATCTCTGCCTGTGCTCCTTGCCATTATTGATTTCATCTGGAGGCAGAAACACTAAAATACTGTGAAGTTGCTTTTGTGTCATGTCTGTCCTGATTTGTACCAGGAAGTGCTAAACATCACGTGCACTCCCTAGCTCTTTTAGGTCACAGAAGTTCAGATAAGCCGCCCAACTGACACTGATAAAAAAGTGTAATAAAAGTGTAACATCTGTTTTCTGTGTGGCAAAACTATTTACAGTGCAATCTTGCTTGAACCCATGCACTTTCTTTCAGGGGCAGCAGGTTTGTGTAATTTTCGGCGGTGCTCAGAACAGGTCCAAGTCCTGCCTCCCCACACCTGCCTTGTAAGCCAATATTTTTTTTAATAATATAAAAATGGACTGGAAACAGCAAGCATTTAACAGTTTCCCTATATTGCACAATGTGAGTGTGTGTGGGGGGAGGGGGATGAGGGCTCTGGCTGGGGGTGAAGGCTCTGGGGTGGGGCTGGAGATTAGGGGTTTGAGGTGTGGGAGGGGGCTCAGGACTGGGGCAGAGGGTTGGGGTGCAGGGGGTGAGGAGTTTGGGATGCAGGCAGGCTGGGGAAGAGACCCAGCTCCGAACATTGGTAGAGCTGGGCCCCTGGGCCTTGAATATTCCTGGAGGCTGGGCACCACAGGCCCATACAACATTGTCCCTGCTTTCTTTTGAGCTTCAGCTGGTCTAGAGTGACTTGGTAGATGCAATTTTTTCTTCCTCACCCTCATATGCTATGCCCTCATCACACTGCCAAAGACTGAGGAAGAGGTTTAGCTTAATCCACCCTGAGGAAACTGATAAATAGACCTTCCACGTTAACTCAGTGACATGGTGATTAGCCTTAGTTTTACCAAGGAGCTAGACCATGAAGTGTATTAAATGGTCAATCAGGTATGCTGTAGGATTGGAATATTTAATTATAAACCTAATGAAACATTGAGAATTAAGTCAGCTTGGTTAATGCACCAGTTTTAACTGCAAGGAAGCAGAATAGACACAGGCCTAAACCTCAGGGCTAGACACTTGTGATAAACTAAACTCTTCCTAAAATTACAATTGACCCTGCCTGTACAAAACCTAGCATTACTGCAGTGGGCTCTGGATCAGCCCTTTGTGCAAAGTATACTGGTCAGTCAGTAGCAGAGGTGGAAATAGAGCTCAGGAGTTCTGGACTCTCCTTCTAGGCCTTGTGGCCTTCAAAAGGTACGTTTACACTGCAAGGACCAAAATACACACTGCTGCAGCAAGTCTCAGATCCTGGGTCAGCTGACTTGGGCTCACACTATAGGGTTAAAAATAGTAGCATAGATGTTTGGGATTGGGCTGGAGCCCAAGAGCCAAGGCACCCCCCCTTGCTGGGTTTCAGAGCCCAGTCCAGGTGGGAACAGCTATGCTACCTTTTTTAGCTCTGCAGTGTGAGCCCAAGTCAGTTGACCTGAGCTCTGAGACTCGCTGCCACAGGGGTTTATTTTTACAGAGTAGATGTACCCTGAGGAGTCTTCAGCCTGGCAGTATTTTTGCTCCTCTGAAAATTCACCCTAGTCATCAGGCATGATAAAAATTAAGACTTTGCTCATTTCTAAGCTAGGATTCCCATAATTTATGTGGCATACAAATGTCATCTTATTTTTGAGCATGTGTAGTGGTAGGACAATTATATAGAGATTCTGGATAACTGGATAACCTACATAACCCAGTCATGAGGCTTCATCTCTTGTAACTAATTCAGCCACCCCAATCTCAGGCCT